GATCACGTTGAGCGAAATCGAATGCCGTTTGAATTTTGAAAATCGGCCCGTTAGATCTCGAGATATCAAGGGGGGGTCGTAAACAGCCCCCCCCCCCTGCCACTAATAGGGGGTAGCCAGGAGCCTGCCACTAATAGGGTTAACGGGTCACTTTTGCGTCTAGTCTGTTGATGTTTCGTTCGTTTCGATGTTTCGTTCGAATCGACCTAAGTTTGGTCTAATAAAAGTGAAGCCTTTGCGCATATACATTGTATTAACCCCATTTACTGTTGTTATTATGTTCAAAACCAGTAGCAAACACACTTCCTGAAACGTAAAATAGTGATACAAATTACCCCACCATGTGATACAACTCACCTAAGCCATGGGGCAAGTTGTATCAAAAACATTGCTCTATTCGGCAGACCGTAGAAGAAAAACTAGCAGAGGTAGCGGAAAAGTTACTTTGCACAAAAAAGCAGAAGAATCAAGGAAGGAGATAGTATGGAAATAATGAGTTTATCAAGGATAGTTACGAGATTATGGGTCTCGGAGTAAAAACTGATACAACCCACCCCACTCTCCCCTAAGGTTTGCAATAGGGAACTTGAGATTCTGGCCCTAGCTATCGAATGCGGCCATCAGAAATCGGATCGGACGATCGGTGTAGAAAAAATTGAGTGACTCAAAATTTCAATCCGTGATTTGACCTTTAAGGTCAAATATTTTTAATAAGGTATATATTAGGGAACTCGAGATTCTGACCCTAGCTATCGAATGCGACCATCAGAAATCGGATCGGACGATCGGTGTAGAAAAAATCGGGGACTCAATTTCAATCCGTGATTTGACCTTGAAAATGACCTTGAAATTTGAAATGAATACGATATTCGGAATCAGCGTCCCAAACTGCATCGGATAGGTTGGGTTTAGTTGAAATTCGGACTCGACGCTGAATCCGTCGCGGAATACGACGCTAACTTCACGCACGTGAAAATGTCACCAGTTATTGCGTGCTCGGTTGGTATGGCGACGAGCACTGTGAAATAGTATCCGTTGGCGGCGGCCGACAACTTTTACGGTTGAATTTCATCGAGCCTCGTCTCCATGGTTACCCTCGCTCAGCAAATATTGCTGGCATGAGACCTTATAGTCTGTGGGCCGGCTGGGTCACTCGCAGTCACGCCTCACCTCTGGGCTGACCGGCCGCTCTGAGTCTGGTGCCTCGGTGGCCGACCTGCGGTTCTGAAGTCTGAACCCGGTGTCACGGTGGCCGACCTGTAAAACTCTATAACCAGTGACCTGCGTCGGAGATTCCCGACCCAGTGGTGCCACCCCCTTGCCATGTTGTACGAGGGGACCAAGGTGGTGGTAGGCGGCCTGCTGGCGGCCATTTTCGCCGTACCGCTGGTGACCGTGGCTCGCCACCGGACGCTCTGGGAGGAGCCGATGGCGATGCTGGCCGCCAGTCTGTCCCTGGTCAGCCTGATCTGCGGTCTGGCGCTGGCGGCCGCCGGCCTCTACGACCTGGCCGAGCTGCAGTGGGCCGACCTCTGCCTGGCCATCCAGTCGGCCGGCATCGGCGCCGGCGTCTCCATGAAGATGGCCTACGTGACGATGGCGGTGGACCAGTTTGTGGCCGTGGTGCGGCCGCTGCAGCACTACCAGGTGATGGAGCGCGCGCTGCGCTGGCTGCTGGGAGCTGTCGGTCTCAGCGGCGCCCTGATGTTCGCCGTGGGCATGGTGACCGGTTGGCTGGGCCTGACCACCGTCGCCGAGCGGATGGGCGCCACTGGTAACGGCACCCAGGCCACCGCCGCCTACGACGGCTGCCGCTGGGAGAACTTCTCCACCCACGTGGCCAACGTGACGGCCGAGACGGCCATCTTCACGCTGGCGCTGACCGCCACCGCGCTGTTCGTCTACACGGGCGTGGTCGGCTGGCGTACGAAGGTGCGGCTGACGCGGATCTCCCGCCGCCAGCGCTGCCAACCGGCCAGCCGGCACCACCAGAGCTTCATGTACAACTTCAAGTCGTTCCATCCAGCGCATCTGCCTGGTGCTGTCTCTGACGCTAGTGCTGGATGTGGTGGGCTCGCTGGTGCGGCTCGCCGATCGCTGGTACTCGATGCCGCGGCTCAGCGGCTTCATCCACCAGGGCCGCATGCTGGGCTTCATCTTCGAGGGCTGGGCGTACGGTCTGCTGAACGCCAAGATGCGCGCCGCCTACCGGAGCACGCTGTGCCGCTGCCGGCCGCGGGACGCTGCCGGAACACCGCCGGCAGCTCCGGCCCCGGGGAACGGCGGGGACCCGGCGCCGAGCGGCGAGACAGCACGGCAGCGCGCGGCCCGGGCGGCGCCAGCGCAGCGGCCGCCTACAGCAGCGTACAAGGTGAACCCCGCAACCAAAGCAACCACGGCAGCTCACGACAAACCGGCCAGAGAGACACAAATCCAGCACATTGAGAAGATTGGAGCGAAACTCAATTCAGAGAGGCAGAGTGAAGATGCCCCAAACCGACGTCAGCACCGTTTAAATGGCCCGGATACGGCAGTCAATCGCCGTGACGATGGAGCTCAGCCGTATAGCGATGACCCAACCAGAGCAGCTAGACGTTGTAGTGACCGAGATCTGGCGATCGTGCTTCCCATCAGCCGCGGGACCGCAAATGACCCTAAACGAAAGGTCACCAACCATGGGACCAAAAACGACCCTCAGCAAACAGCCCCGCGTCCTACCAGCTACGGGACCAAAAACGACCCTCAGCAAACAGCCCTGCGTCCCACCAGTCACCGGACCAAAAACGACCCTCAGCAAACAGCCCTGCGTCCCACCAGTCACCGGACCAAAAACGACCCTCAGCAAACAGCCCTGCGTCCCACCAGTCATCGGAACACACCCGTCCATCAGCGCTATGAACTGGTAGCAGTCTCACGCTCTAAATCTCTGGAGTCGCCGTATAAACGCAGCAGCGGCCTCAGGATGATACCAACCCAGCCGCCCAGCGCCATCAACTCAGTATGGAGCGCTGAGGTGGCCGCACGCTGCCGCCGCCGGGCCCGGTCGCCCCACCTACCGTCTGAGTCTGTTCGTGTGAAGCGCAGCTGCGACGAGCGAGCGCCGATGACTGAGCGCTCGCCGGCTGATGATCCGTTCACGTCTCTGCCCATATTTACCATAACTCTGGATCCGCCATCAGCTTGATTTGACTTTAGACACTGATGACGTGTGAGTTCCTAGGCAGCGATGAGTTAGGGGAGCTCAGTGCTGGGGAAGCTCTAACCCTTACCACCACACAGGTCCGATTGTATTGTAGCAACTCCAGGCAGCGTCAAGCGTGAGACCGACGTGACGTGTCTTCATACCTCCTTCTAACGGCTCCTGATTGCCAGGGAGTGAGGGGGGCAAACATAGCCGGAAATGTCATCAAATCATAAATATTACATATTAATACCAACAAACACTCATGTAGGTTAGTAATTTAGGTGAGAAAGGACGTTAATATTTCTTGTCGATATCGGCATTTCTTTGAGAGATGCCGAAGATTACAAAGCATGTCACGAATGTCGGAAAATACATTACAAAGTATTGAGCTTAAACATGTTTTTGCAGTTATCAGTGGCCGAGGTAAAGTATAAACTGCATTCTAACCGCACTCCCTGGAAGGGGAGCAGAATCTACCATCTCCCGCAATTTTGCAAATCTTTGAAACGTCATTTGAGCAAGATACCAAGCAGCCTTAATCTTGATCAATCAGAGCCCCGGACTTTGTTGATTCTATACCTTCCCTGGAAATTAAAATGCTTTGGATGCAATTTTGAAACAATTACCTTAGCAACATCACGTCACGGCATTTGGGAGCTTACAACTTCAACTTGAACCTTGCAACATTTTGTTTTATATTTTTGAAGGAGACTCTAGGTACAGATACCTGCAGACCAGACATCGGACGTTTCAGCAAGCAAGTTCTCCCATCACTCTCTGCATATTGAACACAACTAACTAGTTCATAAATACAAAACAACATTCAACCAATATTCAACCATACCAAAATAGATAGATAAGTGGAGCTCACCATAGAGAATTTGAATCTCTCAGACAAATGCGCAGTATTTTACAAATGTCGTGGAAGCCATCGATGGCTTGCGAAAGACCTCTCACAAGAGGAGTTGTTTTGCAATGGCATTGATAACAGTCTACTCGTTTCTCCGCCTCTAACGACAAACGAGATACGTGCTTGAGTTATTCAGATCTTACCAATCATGCACTGAGACTCGCTGAGACCGGATCCGGATGCTCATGCGTCATGTTCGTCCTATTTCCGTCTCGTTGGCGACTTTCCCCGAGAGCGCAGCCTCTGGAGCAGCAGGCTCTGCAGCTGCCACCGGTCCGACTTCACAACCGGACCCGCGCGGAGGACGACACGGTCGCGCCGTTGTGAAACTGGTGGGACTGGCGGAGAGCGTGCTGCCGGACGATCCGGTCCCCTCACCTCCGCGCCCGTCCGGCCGGTTGCAGAGGCCCGCTGACCCCGTTTCGTCAGTTTCCGGCTGCCTCCTTCCGCAGTCTTGTGATCCGGCTCCGCGGATTGCAGCGCACAGGAAAGCAGCGCGTCCGGCCGGTCCGGTCCTGCGGCCGAGCGGGGCCCTCCTCTCTGGCCGGGACCGGTCGGCAGGTCAGCGGTCCCGGCCGTCCCCGACCCGGCCAGGTCGCAGCGCCGACTCACCCGGCTCACCGGCGCGTGTCTGCGCGGCACGTGCTGACCCGTGTCACCCGAGACGCGTGGCTGACCTGAGACACCCGAGGCGCTGGATTGTAAACCGAGCTTTCTGAGGCGCGTGGCCCGCCCGAGGTGCCGACCGGGGCTCCGATGATAGAGCGGTTCGCGCTACTCTCCATGGGAGCGTCCATAAGAGGGCCGAGTCTGATCGAGCGAGGTTACCACTCCTATCGTTTACGACGTATTCTCCCACATTTTTTTCTAGAACACCCACCAGCACCGTCCCAAACGCGAGTCAGCTGTTTGCTCATATTGATGTGTATTTACAATCTCAGCGGTATAAGCGCTATTTCGCGCCGACATTCTCCTTCACACGTAACAACATTCCAACATTCATAAAACGCACACTGTTACCACTTCAGTTCTGGAAGGCATGTGGCATCGGTTGTGACAGGCATAGGCGGCGGATCACTTCAAGTAGTAACAGAAAGTTAATGATTCATAAAATTGTAACTATGAGTCGACCAAAGTAGCATTATTGTACCAGCTAGAATTGCTCGTTTTTTACAAAAGAGTGCCTATATTTGTTTTTCGTAACAATTCGGAATGGAGGAAAGACAAACGGGTCCAATCGCTCAAGCGACTTGAAAAACAGCAGAACATGGAACAGAATGTCGTAAAGTTTACAAACGGAAGTGACGCGAGATGTTTTGCAAACATTGCCAATTATTGGAATATGATCATAATTTTCATCGATCATAATTTGATTTACTATTTTAAGTACTTGACACTAACCAGTGAGTATTTCAAGTAATTTCCAGAAACGAAGCAATAACAATTCGTAGAGTTTCACGTTAGAAGTGAAAGTGTAGCATTTAAGAAATGTTTCTGGGCATCGCAGAAGAATAATCATCAATATAATACGGTTATTGCGCTTTAAAAATGAGAATGGAGTACCTAGATCCGTAAATGTCATGAAAAAATAATAAAATATCTGCGATTTGAAGAGCACTGACATATGTAAATAGATCCGGCAAAGTTCCAAGTTCTTCCAGCCTCGTAAAATATAGGTATCTGAGATAGTTGAGCCCGTAGAAGTAGGACACTCTCCTAAAACAAACTTGTTTTAGGAGAGTTTTATAACAACACTTGTGTTGAAATACCGTGGCGGGATGGGTGATGAAGGCTTACGTTGCGGATATTTTAACTGACTCTTACTTTTTAGTCTCTGAGCTTTATAGTACTGTGAAGGAAGAGTAGCAGGCTATTTTCAGGCTACCTGTATAGAGTACCTATATGATTCTAAAATTGACCGCGAGATAACTATCATTAGAAGCCGAACAATTGTAAACGGCAAATTAGGAAAGTAATGGCAGTGAAGGACAGAGAAACCTTTCTAAATAACTGATGACATTCGGCCATGGGAGACTAGATCGGGAAGGGCACAGCTCACTGGTATGCGGGGCCTTTAGAGCCATACAAACCTATCCAGGGCGATATTCCAGCTGCGTTCAGAACGTACGAGGTCAGGCGTTTTTGCAGGTTATTGAAGCTGGAAAGTTGCGAACCGTTCAAAACAAAACAACGACGGCCGCTTCTTTCCCTGCACACATACACAAACAAACACGCATACAACGTTTGAGCAATCCAGGGAAGACGCTGAGCGACCTAAACAAAATAACAACAATAAATTACTAAGGGATCCCTGGCAATCGCGGTTTCTCACTGCGCACACACTCCGGTTTCATATGAGGGCACTTTCAGCGGTAGACGGGGGCGGGCGCGCCGTAGTCGGCCGCCGGGGCGCCGTAGCCGGGGTCGAGGGGCGCGCCGTAGCCGGCGGCGGGGGGAGCGCCGTAGGAGGAGGCCGGCACGGGCGGGGCATAGCCCTTCTGGCCGTGCCCGTATCCCTCGTCATAGTAGTGGTGGTGGTTGACGATGATCGTTTCGTCCTTGCCGCCCTTGCCCTTGCCCTTGCCCTTCCCACCTCCGAAGAAGCCCTTGAAATAGTTGCTGATGCCACTGCCGAAGCCGCCGCCCTTGCCCTTGCCGCCGCCCTTGGCCGGGGGGATCCGGTCCAGAATGCTGCTGTCCACCGTCACAAAGTTGAACTTGGGAATGAAGATGGGGAACTTGTAACGGTTGATGTACTTCTCGTACCAGGGCTTCTCCTCGACAACTACCTCCTCGTAGCCGCCGTAGCCGCCGCCGTGGGCGTAGTCGCCGTAGCCGCCGGCGTAGCCGCCCTGCTGGACGTAGCCCTGACCGCCGTACCCGGCATCATAGCCGCCGCCGTACCCGGCATCATAGCCACCGCCGTAGCCGGCGTCATAACCGCCGCCATATCCGGCGTCATAGCCGCCGCCGCCGCCGCCGTAGCTGCTGTAGGAGTCGAGCGCCGGCCCGTAGCCGCCGCCGGCCGCGTGGCCGCCGTGGCCGCCGAGTCCGACGCCCGAGTCGCGCGCCTCCGCCTCGGCGGGCGGCTCGCTGAACGAGACGTGCTCGCCACTCGAGTCGGCCTCGGCCACGGGGGAGGAGTCGCGCGCCTCGGCGGGCAGCGCGGCACCGGCCGGCGCCGCCACCGGCTGGAAGCCGCCCTCTGCGGCCACCAGCGCCAACAGCGCTGACAGCAGCACCGGCGTCACCTGCAGACCGACGCAGGGACGTCAGTCGGGCACAGGAATAGACAGACAGGCCGAAGACAGAAAGGAATTGCTGGGGAGGCTGGAAGGAATCTGTCGCGAATGCGATACGGAGATGGAGGTAAAAAGGCAAGCATTGGTCGGAGATGAAAGCAGAAGTGAAAATGTAGACGGGAACGGAGATGAAAATGGAGACGGAGACGAGGGCGATGGTCACAGAAATAGGTATAGAGACAGTTACGGAGATGAATGAGGTGACAAACAAGTGTGAACTCTTCTAGAATGAGGGAGAACGAACAATTTAACGATTCGGCTATGCAAAAAAGTACTCAAGGAACAAACAACTGGCTCTCAACTCTGGTTTAGTTGTTTCACTGAACTTTTAAAGCAGCTTAGCACCAAGGCGGATCTCTCAATTCAATCACCTAGCTCTTGAATTGAATTCTTATGTTATTATTCTAGCTAAGAACACAAAACAATTTTCAAATATTCTTAAAGTTAGCTATTGTAAAGTTAAATGGCGCTAGGCATTTATCCGGTGTTCCAGCACAGAAGACATGTATTTTTCACTCCTTCTGTTTCTTTTTCACTGATCCTCCGTCTCCCGCTGAGAGGAGTGTCCTGTCCTCACATCCGGCGGCCGCCGCGTCTCGGCACTCACCCTCATGACGTTTTGGTTGGGGCTCGTCGTTGATGTTGCACTGAGTGGCGCGCCGGTCCGGTTCGTGCGCTCGCGCTCTGCTCGACTGTGACCTGACCGGGCGGCGCCGGTCTGCTTTATACAGACGGCGCGCCGCGGGGCCGCGCTTTCCCGCGTGTCGCCTCGAACCGGCCCGGCCCGGCGCGGCGCGGCGCGGACGTACCGGTGGCTTGTCCGCCGCACCGGCAGCAGAGAACGGCGGAACCAGACCCCACAGCCCGGCACGCTGACCCAGTAACCGCGCGCGCCGCCACGGGGACACGAGCCGAGAGCGGCTCACCCCCCTGCCCCCAGTGACACACGGGCCGGCGGCGGGTCAGCCCCCTGCCCCCAGTGACACACGAGCCGCCAGTGGGTCAGCCCCTACCCCCAGTGACACATGCCGGCCTAGTGACCAGGGGCGGATCCAAGGGGGGGGGGGGGTCACATGGGTCATGGCCCCCCCCCCCTTGAGGCCCGGGGGCCCAAAGACCTGCCAGGGGCACCACCGGCCTATCAGGGGTATCACAGTCCTGACAGGGGCACCACAGGACCGCCAGGGGCACCACAGGCCTAGCAGGGACACCACGGGCCTGGTGCCCCTGGGCCCTGACAGGACTGTAACGCCCTTGACAAGCCTGAAGTGTCCCCGGCAGGCACGTGGTGCCCCTGACAGGCCTGAGGCGCCCCTGCAAGGCTGGTGGTGCCCCTGGCAGGCCTGTGGTGTCCATGGCAGGCCTGTGGTGCCCTTGCTAGGCCTCTGGTGCCCCTGACAGGCTTGTAATACCCCTGGAAGGACTGTGGTGCCCCATGGGCCCTGACAAGCCTGAGGTGCCCCTGACAGGCCAGTGGTGCCCTTGCTAGGCCTGTGGTGCCCCTGGCAGGCCTCTGGTGCCCCTGACAGGCTTGCGGTGCCCTTGGAAGGACTGTGGTGTCCCTGGGCCCTGACAAGCCTAAGGTGCCTCTGACAGGCCCGTGGTGCCCTTGTTAGGCCTGTGGTGCCCCTGGCAGGCCTCTGGTGCCCTTGCTAGGCCGCTGGTGCCCCTGGCAGGCCTCTGGTGCCCTTGCTAAGCCGCTGGTACCACTGCGCCCGGAGAGGACTAGTGTCCCTGAAAAGTCTGAAGTGCCCCTCGGCAGGCCCAAGGTGCCCCTGCGAGGCCGGTGGTGCCCCTGGCAGACCTCTGGTGCCCCTGGCAGGTCTGTGGTGCCCCTGGCAGGTCTGTGGCGCCCCTGGCAGACCTGTGTTGACGGGTGCCCCTGCTAGGTCGCTGGTGCCCCTCACAGACCTGTGGTGCCCCTGGGCCTTGACAAGCCTGAGATGCCTGGCTATGACAGGCTCGTGGTGCCCCTGATAGACCAGTGGTGCCCTTGCTAGGCCTGTAGTGCCCCTGGCAGGCCTCTGGTGCCCCTGCTACCCCTGCGCCCGGAGAGGACTATGGTGCCCCTGAAAAGCCTGAAGTGCCTCTCGACGCCCCTGGGCCCTGACAGGCCCAAGTTACCCCTGCGAGGTCGGTGGTGCTCCTGGCAGGCCTCTGGTGCCCCTGGCAGGTCTGTGGTGCCCCTGGCAGGCCTGTGTTGACTGGTGCCCCTGCTAGGCCGCTGGTGCCCCTCACAGGCCTGCGGTGCCCCTGGAAGGACTGTGGTGCCCCTGCCCCTAGGGGTGCTCATGGGCCCAACAGGCCCGTTGTGCCCCTGACAGGCCTGTCGTGTGTACTTGCTAGACCTGTGGTGCCCCTGCTTCATGGCAGGCCTGTGGTGCCCCTGGCGGGCCTGTGGCGCCCCTACAAGGCCGTAGGTGCCCCTGACAGGTTTGTGGTGTCCCTGGAAGGACTTTGGTGCCCCTGACAAGCCTGAAGTGTCAAGGACAGACCCTTTAGACGCCAGGGTCAAGTTCGTCGGACTGACAACGATTTGCTTACCTGATAACGTTCCTGGTAAGTACTCACTACTCAGCGTCCACAACATATATACACATAGCACATTCATATATACTTGCTTACAATTGGTAAATGTGGTTGTGGCTAAGAGTTAAGATACTGACTAAAAATAAAAAAAAACAAAAATAAAAAACTGAAAATGGGGGCACCACCAAAATGAAGTGGACGAAATCCGTTGAGTTTTTAATTTTGGGTATAGGTAGGGGCACCACTTCGATTCATGACCCTCCCCTTGGAGTTTTCCTGGATCCGCCCCTGCTAGTGACACATACTGTTTCCCACCCCTACCTCCAGTGATTCACACAGACCGAGCCCTACTTAGTCACACACAAAGGTAGACAGACACCAGCGGACGTAAAAATGGACATCGGTTTATACAGACAAAGACATGACCCAGTTACAGAGAAAAGATAAAGACATGACTGAGTTACAGTCAAAGACATGAACATGACCATTGACCAAGAAAGATAATAGCACGAACCGTTTCTGATTCTGTTCCTTTACAAGCGTACCCGCGGGACACGCATGCTGCTTCCTGTTTTGTCCTGATCGGCTCCCACGATGTCCTGAGGCCGGCTCCCGTGGTATGTTCGCTATCTCCGATAATGTGTAATGACTAATGTGTTCATTGGCTTCCGTCGTACGTCGGTTGGCCGGCTCCCATGGCATGGGAGCCCTGCAGCATACGCGGTGCTGTTCGGCAGGGCTAACGGCCTGGGAGGTAGGCTGTGCCGCTACACAGCTCGAACGTGCGCCCAGCTCTACAACGGTGCCGTCCACATGCAGTGCAGAGGTTGCCTCTTCATGGGCTCTAGCATTAGCAAGTCGAGTAAGTTTTTTCAGTTTGTTTATAATTCGTTGGCTGTGTATTTAACTATGCGTATCTGCTATGTGCACCGTAAGGAAGTGCGGGGTAATTGGCCGTTTTTGATCATGTATCCTAAAAAAAAATGACTTATTTTCCCGCTTTTTCAACGTTTGCAGGTTTTGCATTTGCTGTACTTTCCGGGAAAACAAAATTAATATGGCAAATTGAGTGATAAATTTGTGATTTACAAAGATCTGCAAGCCAGTCAGATAGTTAACGGGGCCTTTTGGCCTGTGAGATGGGGCTGTTTGACCAGTGTATGTACGAGGACTCACGTCTGGTCCGAGATATTTTGTCATTTTCGTCAGCAGCCTAGAAATCGATCATTTCATGTAATTAGATAGGTCTCAATGTTATCTTAGCCAATAACTGATACGCGCGAATTAAAATAGGGAAAGTGGCCTTGTTAAAATACCTTCGGTGTTTGGCTTCACATAGCTAAGAGCAGGGCTGCGGAGTCGATGGATTTTAGGGTGACTCCTACTCCGACTCCGACTCCGGCTTCCAAAATCGACTCTGACTCCGACTCCAACTTCGACTCCGACTCCGGACAGTTCTTTTAAAAGCCATATCATGATGTTGAGGTTCATAATGGAGATGTTTTTATCTTGCCTGAAACGATCCCTTGAGCGTCCCAAGGCTTTGTGTTGCAAATATGTATCAAAAATTACATGCAGAATTAAAAAGCAGGCTCTGGGGAATTCTGATTCTTTCTTTAAAAACGTCGTCCAAAACAGCAAAATAACCTAGGACAAAAGCTAATTTCGAGCGCAGTATCGTCAATCGAACAGGTCCAGTGCATGACGTTGAGCCATGCAGCGTTAACTCCGTCTCCGTAGTCGGAGTCAGTAAAATTTTGGCGACTCTGACTCCGACTCCGACTCCGACTCTGGGCAGAACTGTCGACGTTATCCAGCTGGCCGCTCGCCCAGAACAAATAAACCCGCATTAATATTCTGAATAATTTTGTTAGTAAAATTGTACCCATTCATAAAAATATGAAATTGTTCGTAAGTATGGCATAGCTATTACAACACATTGCACCACAGTGCCGTATTATGTTAACAATTAATGGATCCATGATGTACAGTTTTTACAACGAATAAAAAATCAGCTTTTTGCAAGCAAGATCGTACCAAACCTGCTTTATGCGTACACATTATACCTACTTTATTGAAGTTCACCTTATCGCAAAGATGAGGGCGGCCAATTTACCTAACCGGCCAATTTACCCCACTCTCCCCTGTATACGTTTGCGCACCCTTATTTATTTCTATTAACCCTCGCGGGCCCGGGGCGTTTTTCGCTCCCTCCTGGCGAATATTCACGATAGCTCCCGAACGCTTAGGAGAGCGAAACTTTTAGTGTCTGATCCCCCATCTATTTGACATCTTCTGGAGTAAAAAATTTGGACCTATAGCCCCCTTGATGAGGTCACAGGTTCGATTTTGCTAGACCCCTGCACGGCAAATCACTATTTGAAACAACGTGCAAAACGCTCTGGAGTGTAAGCTTCGCCAATGTCCAGTGCATTAGTGCCCTTGTATGGCCTTGTTCTAAGCTGTTTTGTCTTTTGAAACAGAGCCTTTGGTATAACATGTTTTCATGTCTCATATTGAGAGGTCGAAAACAAAACGGGAACACTAAAAATGTTATCTTGTCGATCTTCCGTCGAACTCGAAGCTCGCTCACAACTAGGTACCGGGAAATATTCTGCCCACTCCACCAATTTTTCATACAGGCTTTGTCCTACCTACCTTGGAAAAGTGTTTCGGCTTCCAACCGGCATGTCATTAATTATATGTTATGTGTATATGTAAGTTACAGGCAAGTGTGGAATCGGGCATTCTATAGCACCTATAAATGATTAAGCATTTCTACAGAATAACTGGTCATTCTTTAGAATGCCTGAAAGACCAGGCATTTTACAGAACACTTATGCATTCTATAGAATACCCGATTCCACACATTGTCCGTAACAAATACATTATGCACGTGCCGATCCGGCCCCTGCGGCCGACCGGTTGCTCCGCGCTGTGACGGCCGGCAGTAGCCGCGGCCGCCTGCCGGCCGCCGGGGAGGGTAGACTGTGCCGGCGAGCACGGCTGTAATCCGGGCCGGACCAGGCCGGACCGGCGCTACAGGACGACAGCCAACCGGCCCGGCCGGCTGGCGGGCACCACGCTGCCACGCACGTGCGGTTCGACACCGACCGCGGCGGCCGAGCAACGGTAAGCCTGATGCAACGTCTGGTGTCGCGTGCTGGTGCCGAACTGGTGATACCTGATTGGTGACACCTGGTGATAGCTGGCTGGGGACGCATCGTGAGATCCTGAGTGACTGCTGCTGCGCGTGGTGCATCCGCTCCTATGGTGTTTACATCATTGGGAAGCCAAGACCGAACCAAATAGTTAGGCCGACTAAAAGCATGGAGCATTTTACCATCTGCCAATACCTGAAGAACAAAAATAAGATAAAATAGAGGAACGACCAAATAAATAGTTTTATTAGATTTCCATTTGATAGCGTACTTATTAATGACTAATGAGAGACAAGAGTTGATGAAAAACAGCACCATAAGGCATAAAGATTGAAATGCCTCCCTACACCAAATCGGTAATTTTATGATTTTGGTAGGTCCATCTAACCATTTAGTGTGTGTCATCTATCCTAGCTCCTAAAGTTAGGAGTTACTGCAAAATTAGACTTGAGTTCTCAAGTCTAATTTTGCAGTTCCGGATTACATTGTTTCATTAGTTTCCTAGTTCGGTAGTTTCTATTTCTGCTAGCTGAATATGTAGTTCCGTTATCATCTTCTAGTCGCATTAAATAAGTATTATTCTACAAAAAATATAGCATACAAAACGCGAATGTACGTACCTACGTATACAATACCTGACCGCCGTCCCAGGGATGAGGCATGAGGCTGAAGCGGATGGATTGTTCCTTAGGTATACGCTCTAGAAGTTGATCAGAGGAGTGAAGCTCGGAATGACACTGCATGTTGGTGTTAACTGTTTACCACATGCCGAGATATCCCTTTAACATTAGCACGTGCATTTGGGAAATGGCTTCGGCCCGCCTCGGCTAATGTTGAAGGTATTTGGGAAACGATTCGGCCCTAGGGCTTTTTGATTTTCCCAGACAAAATTTTACTGAATATTCTGAGCGGAAGAACCAATTTCAAAGAAGATATTTACGGATTGTGTGTTCACTAACAGCAACAGCAAAAGTAACTGACTGCGTGTTTACTTACTTTTGCTGTCAACGTAATTCAACTAAACAAGGTTATCGTTCCAATGCCAATGTATTTATTGCTGCGGAACATGGCCGGAATAATCATTATTTCTACATAATGCACGCAAAAACGAACAATTTAAATGCATGAAGCATCTTAACGTGCCACAATGAAACATTTGATATTGTTCCAGCTGGGATCCAAGACGCGTTTGATTCAGCGTTTCACCCAATTTTCAGCTTTCCTCACGGTTTCCTCACTCCTGCTGGACTCCATATCTTTATTCTAACTTCTGGCGCTTCACCATCTTCATCCTCAGCTTTTTCAAACCCTAAATAAGGGGAAGTAGGAATTTCATCTTTCATACTCAACGCAGGCTCGCAGCCCAAAACACAAAAAATAATCACGGTGACTTCAAATATGAACATTGTACTAATATAATATTAACACAATATTAAGATTAAAGTGTAAAATATCAAATGAATATGATATTAACTGTTGCGCCGGTACGGCATGTGGTAAATCTCTTCCCAACCTTGGGCTGTGAAAATGCAGTTTTATTCACCTCGGTTTTTGGCTACGGACCTCGTGCCTACCGGCACTCGGTCCTCCGCACAAAAACCTCGGTGAATAAAACGCATTTTCCCAGCCCCGGTCGGGAATATATATTCTGTCCACGTCATAGAGCCCTGTCGCCCGACATACCTACATTCACTGCCGTGTCATTTAAAAGCAAACACATTTATTAAATCAAGGGTACCGGTATAAATACCGTCATGTAAATACAAAAGTGGGCGCATTTAAAGGAAGTAGTTCACTTTTGACATGGGTTTTTGAACTGGAACAGCAGTTTAGTAGCTGGAGCTGCGACTAATTTTTTTTACAAAAACGTTTTATTTTATTTGCGAATTATTTTGAGCAAGAAAAAAAATCCAATGCAAAAACTAATTTCAGGAAAGTGAACTATTCCCTTTATATGCATGCATTGACGTCAAGCGAGTCTGAACGTTGCGTTATATCATAAGTGATTTTTTTAGTATAAACGGAAACTTAACCCAAGCGACTAAAGAACATATATGGTAGCCGGAAAGCGCATATACCTGTTAAAATTTAGTCGACCCTTTTGACAATAGGTTGGACGCATTTGCCACGCGTTCGTTGACCGTCTTTTAGCTGAGCCCTGAATAGCCTCTAATCCAATAATGTCAAAATAGGTTTATCAAAAACACCTGCAGAACAAAGGTCGCGGAATCCAATTCGTGTAACGTTATAACCGGTTGCCTTGTGAACTGCAGTGCAATCTGAACTGAGTGAGGTCACCGTCGTCTCTGTTGTTGTCTCGGCTGCCCGGGTCAGAGGTGAGGAGGTCAGAGGTGGGGGGGGGACAGGGGGTGATGAACCTGTTCCGCTGGTAACGAGGACTCGGGCCGCCGACTCTGCACACTGGTCAGCTGCAGCACGGGCGCCGGCACGCTTCTCTGCCGCGACCGGTTCGAAAGCGGGCCATCTCAGAAACCGCTCGCACTCAACCAACCAGAAATGCTAAGCGGAAGATCAGGTTGTTCCGGCGATGATTCCAACGGACAGGCGGATTTTCATTTGTGTAAGAACCGGTATGTGACCTACTGAACTCATCCGGAACTAGCACACTTTCGGAAAATATGTACGTCATAACGGCGTAATTTTATCTTGTTTGCCAAGAGTGACCGTTCGTTAGCCTCTAAGATGCGCTGTTCGCTGCTTTTATTTGTTACATGCTGGCGTGGAAAGAAGTAAGCAACTGAGTGTGGGAATGGCATCATGTGCAATATTCTAAATTAACCATATCCATGTGGTGTTCTTTCAGGGGAGAACGCTTAAAGCACTTAACAATTACGCTTATAAGAACGGCAGTGCCGCTCTTAAAACACTAGCCGGAAAGGCGTCAAAGTAAATATTCACGGCGTGAAAGACATGTTCTCGTACATTTTTCTGTATTTCATTAGCACTCACATACACAACTGAGAGACACACTCATCCAACAATTCACATCATATCGAACACTTCAAATAAATATTTCAAATGAGTAGGGCAGTTATCGGAGAGTCTGCTGAAACAGTTCAAGTTGAGGCAAGATAAGTATGACAGCAAACGCAAACTAATGTAATTCCGTTATGCATAACGCGAATGTAGCATGCATTTCATGTGCTGAAAACGATTATCGTTTTGTGAATGATAGCTAGGTAAACGATGCACTTTTCATGATTGATCCTGAGTTTTGCCAGGGGTGAAGGAAATAAGCAATGTGGATGAAAATCAAGGGAATGGGATACAAAGTGGTAAAAAGAGGTAGATTTGTCTGAAGACTGGAAGAGGTGTTCAGAAAAAGAGAGACAGGAAAAAGGAGAGAGAGAGAGAGAGAGAGAGAGAGAGAGAGAGAGAGAGAGAGAGAGAGAGAGAGAGAGAGAGAGAGAGAGAGAGAGAGAGAGAGAGAGAAAGAAAGAGAGAGAGAGAGAGAGAAAGAAAGAGAGAGAGAGAGAGAGAGAGAAAGAGAAAGAGAGAGAGAGAGAGAGAGAGAGAGAGAGAGAGAGAGAGAGAGAGAGAGAGAGAGAGAGAGAGAGAGAGAGAGAGAGAGAGAGAGAGAGAGAGAGAACTGAAAATACTGATAGGTTAGAAGAGAAAGAAGATACGAAAAAATCAAAGAAGAGAATAAGAAGGATGAAGCTGAACTGAATGAAACAGTATAGGTACAGGTTTTACATAACAGGCAAATTTTCTCAGCACATCAACGACAGGAACCAATCGTGAATGCCACGCGGGTGTGGCTGACAAGAACCGCAATGGGTATGCCGCGCATGACTTCTTCTAGATCAACTAACATCGCGAACCTGACATCGGCTTTTTGCTTCCTTTTAATTGGCGTTACCGACCTACGATCAAAAGTGAATAATTATACTGCAGCGGAGTAAGATAAAAGAAATGCCGTAAAGAAGTTTTAGAGGGAAGATACATCTGTGGTCAGAGCTATGGTTTAACGGATAATCGTTCAGTCTTTAAGAGCTGATCGTGTGAAGAAAGACTTTAAGGATCCTTTTAGGAGGCATGAAGATGCTGACTTGCAATCCATTTAAATAGACTTTCGCTACACTTCATAGAAAAAAACTACGCAAGATTGGCGCATGAGCATTAACTGTGATAGAGCCTAGGCCGCAAGAAATCACCAATATCACATTGGAATCAACAAGTACAAGTGCCTACCGAAGTACATTGTACTTACGAGCATAACAATGAGTTCGGGTCTCTCCGAGCGCGCGCGGCGATCGGAGGGACCCGTTTTGATTGGCCATGCCAGGAAGACTGCGCGTCGCCGGTAAATAGACTGATGGCCGGCGGGCAGCTTCTAGTAGCCGTCTTGCGAGTAGCCACCGCCGTAGCCGCCGGTCTGCGCGTACCCGTAGTCGTCTCCGTAGCCTCCAGCGGGGGCCCCGTAGCCTCCAGCGGGGGCTGCATAGCCCGCGCTCTGGCCGCCGTATCCGCCCGCACTGTGGCCGTAGCCGCCGCCATAGCCGCCGTCATAGTACTCCGTGTACTTGACGATCTTCTTCTTGCCGCCGGAGCCTCCCTTGCCCTTGCCTTTGCCCTTGCCCTTGCCGAAGAGCGAGTAGATGGGAATGTTGATGGGATAGTAAAGCACCTCGCTCTTCAGAACGGGGAACTTGGGCAGGTAGCTGGACAGGCCGTGGCCGGAGCCCTTGCCTTTGCCCTTGCCCTTGCCCTTGCCGTTCACCTTGCGGTAGAGCGGGATCTCGACGGGGTACTCGTAGCCGTAGCCGCCGCCGTAGCCGCCGCCGCCTCCCTTGCCCTTGCCTTTGCCGCCGCCGGCGCCCACGGCCGAGACGTACTCGAACTGGTGGCCGCCGTGCCGGTAGCCGACGTCGTGGCCACCCTCCTCGTAGTACGGTCCAGAGGCGTAGCCGACGTCGTGGCCGGTCTGGTACTGGTCAGCGACGTAGCCGCCGCCGCCGCCGCCCTGGTACGGGTCCTGGGCGTAGCCACCGCCGCCGAACCCGCCGCCGCCGCTCACGAAGCTGCCGGCGCCGCCGCCGCCGCCATGGCGTCCGGCGCCGCCGACGAAGCCCTGCTGGCCCTCGTAGCTGGTGTAGGAGTCGCCGAAGTCGTCGTCCCCGTGGAAGCCGTCGTGAACGGCGCCATGGGAGCCGCCATCGGCCCGCACCAGAGCGACCACCGCCAATAACGCCAATATCTGCCGAGCGCAGAGGTCAGTCAGCCGGGCCGCCATACAAGGGAGCTACCGAAATAGGTGCCGTGGGAGGCACGACAGCCGAAATTGGTACAACACTTAAAAAAGAAAAAAACTGGTACTATATCAGTGATAGTTCGACTCTAAGAGCAATTATGGTAAATTAAAGTTTGAACTAAGTTTGAACGCACTTAAATGGTGTATTAAAGTGCGATGGATCTATTTTAGCTGGTCAATTAAATGTTAGGCAGTCCACTTCAGCGACCAACATATCCTTCCTTTCGAGCCTTGTGTCCGGGTGAGTTTTTGCCAGCGATCGATACTCCCACAGTCAGCACACACACACACACACACGCGGCGGGCGCACTGGGCACCAGCCGGGACCACTGCTGCACTGCCGGCGTACCTTCATGATTCCTGTTGTGCGCGGCCGGGGCGCTCCGTGTCCTGAATGACTACCCGATCCGCGGCCGTACCTCTTATATGGCGGCCGGGCCGGCGGCTTTCGCGCGGTTCCGGTTAGGCCGGCTCAGTTGCAGCTCGGCCAGCATCTCTGAGAGGCCTCGGACCCGGCCCGACCGAGACACGAGGCTACCGAGACTACGGAGCTTACCGATACTGCGACCAACATCGAACCAGACCCGAAGCTACCGCGGCTACGGAGCTTACCGATACCGAGACCTGGCTCGACCGATCGATACCCGAGGCAAATGAGACTTTAGAGAACAGAGCTTGCCGATATGAGACATTGACCGAGACCAGAGGCTACCGAGACTACGGAGCTTACCGATACCGAGACCACGAGACCAGCAGCGAACCAAACCAAAGCCCGACCTACAGACAGAGGCCTTGGACCCATGCCGACCGAGAATAGAGGCTACCGAGACTACAGAGCTTACCGTTACCAAGACCAACTTCGAACGAGACCAAAGCTCGACCTATAGACACTGAGGCCTTGGAAACGACCCGACTGAGACCAGAGGCTACCGAAAATCCGACCGAGACCAGAGCCGAGTGAGACCAAACCCCGACCGAGACCAGAGACCTCCAACCTGACCCGACCAAAACTGGAGGCTACACCAAGACCAGAGCCAACTGAAACTTGGTCCTACCGAGACCAAAGCCGACGAAGACCAGAGGTTATCGAGACCAAAGGCTGCAGATTGCAGTCCCGGCCGAGACCAGACCCCACCGATACAAACCCTACCGAGACCAGAGCCGGACCGAGACCAGACCCCGCCGATACAAACCCTACCGAGACCAGACCCCGCCGATACAGGCCCAACCGAGACCAAGGCCCGACCGAGGTAGAGCTCAACATATGCACTAAAGCCGGACTGCACCGACGTGGCTAGCGATTTTATCTTGGCTTCCCATCCAATCGTCTAATTGAATGTTTCCTGCTACTGTATAATGGCTTATTTGCCTGAAGTCCATAGTTAGTTGATCGTTTTGTCCAGCCATCATATCGTCACCTAGATTATTGAACGTGTGGTGGTGCCTTCTGGGCTTCTGACCGCTGCAATATATAACAGACTATGCATTTGTAGGCTTTGATTTGTTTTGCACATGCTCATATTGTTCCTGACTATTGTGCTCGATAACAAGGCTCATAGGGTTTTCACATCCTGTTTCCCCGCAAATCCTGGGTCACGTAGCGTGGATAGGAAAAAAAGACGCTGGATAGGCCGTTAAAACCATCCAGAAAGTAGACATGTTTAGAGAAGTTTAGGGTCAAGGTGAACAGAGGTCATCAAAGCATTATGTTTCCCGTTTTTTGACATTTATAAGCGGTAAACTCGTATGTTAGCGGATCAACGGATTTGATAGCTTTCACATATCCTGTCACACACAAACAACCGTTCAAAGTGTAAAAGCAATTGATATATTAGTTATTCTTCATTGAGCATTTAATATCTTGAAGTGAGGTCACACCTGTAATTTGCTTTCAAACTGCTGAACTAAAGTGCATGTAAAAGTACTTTGAAACCAAAACATACCTAGCTTTCCAACTTTTAACCCTCGCCCTGGCAGGGCATTTTTCATAACACGGCCTGGCAGGGGGGGTCGATGCGACCCCCCCGCCTCGCGATTGGCTCCTATGGCACCTAGAAACACCAAATTTGGTAGGTAGGTGGGTCCCCTGGAGTTCTCGCCCCTGTGCAAATTTGGTTGCTCTAGGTCAATATTTAGGGGGGTTTTGGGGGGTATAAATGTAAAAATTTCGCAAAAAACAGGTCAAAAGTTTTTCGCTTATAACTTTTGATCTAATTAAGATAGAGCAAAAAGAAAAGCATCAGTGAACTCAGCACGTCAAGGCGCGTCGAATGATATGCTTTTAACCTTGCTTAAGTGTACTTAAAGTTTTTCTTAAATTTTAAGTAAACTTAAATGAATAAATTAAGTTAAAGTTAACCAAATTACATCATATCGCATATCATTCGATTCGGCTGATCACCAGGAACACAATGATACCATTTTTTAAGCTCTAGCGTCATTATGTGCCAAGTTATTGGCAAAAACGTCATTTGACCTCAGTTGACCTCATTTGACCTGACCCATGGATAAGCACACCAAAAAAAGAAGCACCAAGTGACCTGCTGTTAAGTACTGTGGTTTCAAAGCACAAAAGTGATAGAACGAAGCGGATATCTCCAGTATTTTCCGAATTTAGTATTTTCCCATAGGCTTAACATTACGACGTAATGACCTCTAACTGACCTCAGGTCAGTGACCTCAAAAAACCCGAACTATATGTTATACAATAGAGGTGGCAAAATGTGGACCCGAGGACCCGGTCCAAAGAACCAGTCTGGACCCATATGGGTCCAGACCGGTTCCTGGAAATTTTATGACGGGTCCCACCGGGTCCTACCATAAACTATACATCTTGCACACTACACATTATTGCAAAATATGAAGTGAATGTTTCTTTGCACACCGTAGCTCATGGGTAGTCCCAGTGGGAAATAGGCTGTTTTACATCATGCAACTAATGACACCTACAAGTAGTTTGTATTAATTGACTTTTGAGGAACGGGTCCAAATGGTTCCGATTCCAACCAAGACCGGGTCCGACTGGTTCCAGAAATGTCCAGCCGGGTCTGGTTCGAGTCTGGTTCCCAAAATTTTCATCTTTTGCCACCTCTATTATACAACTCGGTGAACTTAGCACATCCTGAAAGTTTGAAGGAAATCAGTGCAAAACTGTGAGTTGGACAGGTGCAAAAAGAAAATTGAAATTTGACCATGACCTTGTACCGGTTTTTCTGATCTGGTGACCTGACCCAAGGTCACCTGGACCTGAAATTTTCAGGTCATATGTAAAAAGGTTGCCCCATAGGCTGTGCCAAATTTGGCGGCGCTGCGCGCCGCCGTTTTTACGCTATCCTCGAAAAACCTTAGGGGGGGTCGCATCGACCCCCCCCCCTGCCAGGGCGAGGGTTAAAACCGTTGTTAGGTTGTTCCATAGTTGATGAACGCATAGACAGCAGGGATCAGTAAAAGTAAACGTGCCTATGTATATTTGAATAGAGGTGGCAAAAGATGAAAATTTTGGGAACCAGACTCGAACCAGACCCGGCTGGACATTTCTGGAACCAGTCGGACCCGGTCTTGGTTGGAATCGGAACCATTTGGACCCGTTCCTCAAAAGTCAATTAATACAAACTACTTGTAGGTGTCATTAGTTGCATGATGTAAAACAGCCTATTTCCCACTGGGACTACCCATGAGCTACGGTGTGCAAAGAAACATTCACTTCATATTTTGCAATAATGTGTAGTGTGCAAGATGTATAGTTTATGGTAGGACCCGGTGGGACCCGTCATAAAATTTCCAGGAACCGGTCTGGACCCATATGGGTCCAGACTGGTTCTTTGGACCGGGTCCTCGGGTCCACATTTTGCCACCTCTATATTTGAATTTATAATTGTCTACACCAAATTATTCTAATATTAAACAACCTTCAAATCTACCGTTGCGGCCTCAAAGCGTTGCCATCTTATTTTCGCCGTCTTTTTATTATTTTTATTTTTATTAGGCCTTATTATTATTCTTATAACTGGGGTGTGCTTTTCTTCTCAGCAAGAACGCGCAGTTTTAATGCGCCTTACGCTTTACTCGAAGTTCACCGTTAGCATCGTATAGGTTGGGTAAATTTCATGGAACATCCGTTCTCTGCATAATCTGCAGCGGCATTAAAAATGTATTTTATCAATGATAGGACGTCTGACTTCCAAACGTCCCTCCTTTCCATGCGCAAGTCGCAAACGCAACGAGTGTTTCGAATCACGCATGACACCGGCGAAAGTAGAAGTCTTCAGCATATAGTGATATTTCATGGCATCTTAATGTAGACGGATCTGCATAGTAGTTTGTAGATAAGCTCGCATTTCATCATTCTCAGTATAATATAGTAGGGGAGAGTGGGGTGGGTTGTATCAGTTTTTACTCCGAGACCCATAACCTCGTAACTATCCGTGATAAACTCATTATTTCCATACTATCTCCTTCCTTGATTCTTCTGCTTTTTTGTGCAAAGTAACTTTTCCGCTACCTCTACCAGTTTTTCTTCTACGGTCTGCCGAATAGAACAATGTTTTTGATACAACTTGCCCCATGGCTTGGGTGAGTTGTATCACAAGGTGGGGTAATTTGTATCACTAGGTATTTCACGTTTCAGGGAGTGTGCTTGCTACTGGTTTTGAACATAACAACAACATTAAATGGGGTTAATACAATGTATATGCTCAAAGGCTTCACTTTTATTAGACCAAACTTAGGTCAATGCAATCCGAACGAAACATCGAAACGAACGAAACATCAACAGACTAGATGCAAAAGTGGCCCGTTAAGAGCAAAGAAGCCAACACATTGTGCCGAAATGGAACGAGTATTGACTAGCTACCTACAAACGCGAGACAGGGCTTAGCTTTCGCGATCAAAAGCAACATACCCATACATACAATACATACATGTTACAACATACCCCACCCGGCTCTGATACAACATGTACCTCGCCGCCATCTTGGAAAAAACATCCTCGTGCTCAAAATCAGCGGACAGCTGGAGAAATCCATTTTCACTAACGCAGCCTTAGAACCTACCCTCACCACCGCTACGGAGATCTTTCAAATTCGTGCACATCTAAATGCCCAAAACACACATTTTCTTGCAACTCATTTTTTTAGAATGACATTAAAAAAACATAAAATCGGCTCTCACCTAAAGACGCGTCCACCCAGCCACACGACAGAACAGGGAAAGATGGCGCCCGGAAAACCTCGTCGGCTGGTCGTGTCACGAGCGCTATCTATTGGATAAGTTTGGCACAATTCGCCCTGATACAACTTGGACATGATACAACTCTCCCCGCTCTCCCCTACCCCTCAATATTGATGATTGGTGTAATGCCTTTCACCGATCGCCGGCGCGACGACTACCAAGCTGCGCAAGGCCCTGATGCGTGGCTGGTCACTGACGGTGACCTCTGGGCTGGGCAGCCCCGCCCCGCCATCTGGTGGTGACCTTTGAAGCTCAGTTTCGCCCCACCAGTGTCCACGTGGAGGCGAGGTGAAGCAGGAGGTCACGCGCGGCGCTCGTGCGCATTTCTGCAGCGAGGGCGGCCTGGGCGGGGGCCCATGGCGGTCGGACGCGTACTGACTCAATTGGTTCCACTTCAGACTCGTGGTGGAAGGCTACGCATTCGTTCAGATATTTTCGGTCTCTGGTGGTCGCGGCGACTAGTCGCCCTCATTAATTGTTTAAACAATTCGTGACTTTGGAGATAAGCTGTTCATTCGTTTTTATCTCTAGACGGACGTAGACTGGTCAAGGTCGTGGCTGGCTTGTGGCCAAGTTATATAGTTACCATCGTAGTTTTTTATGTCACGCCAACTTCATTGGCTGCTGGACTTCGTGTTTATCCCCATTTGCTGTTTTCATATGTAATTAGCTAAATAATATTTTTTTGGTAGGTTACATTACATATACATATTAAAAACAAATCGTCTTTCCATTGCAGCAGTCATTTTACCGTTGCTTATATCTCATTTACTGCAGTGAACACAATTTGCTGTCGCTTACCACTCGGTTACTGCGGTAACCACCAATCTGTAGTCTGTTTATCGTCAGTTGCCGCCATTTATTGCGGTTCTATTCTGTTTACCGTCGGTTATCGATCGATTACTTCGGTAACAATTAACCATTGATTACCGTTCAATTACTGCGGTAACCAGCACTCAGTTCCCTGTCGGTTACCGCTCAGTTACTGCGGCAACAGTGACGGGGCCGCGGTCTCCGTTCAGTGTGTCAGGGAAGAGGCCGCCACGCCGCGCCGGTGTGGGACCGGAAGGAGAGCTGCGAGAGACGTCCGGCGCAGGAGAGATCAGACTCGCGCTCCGCGGGTTCTGCCTTGAGCCGTTTTAGCAAACAGTTGCTGAGTGATTCAGCCGCCATGTTCTGTTTCTAAAATTGGTTTTTCGTTGTTATTTCAATTTATATCAGTATTAGTTATAAATCAGGTCATTCGGTTCCAATATTTCTTTTGCGATTTAGCTTTCTACACTCGGCGCTTTTTTTTGCATTTATTTAACTTCTCCGTTTGGCAGTTGCCCTTTGGTCCTTGGCTGTTGGGTTCAGTAACGGTGGTCATTTAATCGCTGGTGTCTCGCATTAAATCAGAGTTGTCTATATTCGTCTGTAGCCCGTGTCGTCGGCTCTTCGTCTCTGCTGCTGTTTTGCGTTGCACTTTCGTAACTGAACGACAGCAAAAGTTTTCTATCGATCTTAGTTTATTTACATTACGGCACACAGATACGCACATAAATACAGTTGCACACAGATGGAAATATACACAGTTATTTACAGTGATCGCGCTGGCGGCTCCCGGCCGTTACCGCCCGGTTACCACCACCAGCTGGACGGCCTCCGGTCTGCGTGCTGACGCCTCACCGCGGTGGGCGCCGGCTGCCGCTGCAGGGGAGGACGTCCCTGGACGCCGCCAACGCGCTCCTGGGCGGTGGGCGTCGGCCTCCTCTGTGGAGGACCCCGCCGCCAGCCCGCTCCCTGCGGCAGGTAGGGCGGGCGCCGGGGAGCCCCCTGCGGGGCACCCACGGTCGGCCGTCGCTGCGGAACCTGCGGTGGCCTCTGCGGAACCCCCTGCGGTACCACTGGTGGCCGCCGCTGCGGAACCATCTGCGACCGTTGAGGAGCTGGCTGTTGCGGAGACCCCCGCGGCCGTTGCTGTGCCCCCTGAGGACGGCTAGGGTAGGATGTGGTCCGTTCTGAGACCCGCCCAGCCGCTCCAGAGGCCGGCTCCAGCAGCCCCCGTCTGCGAGTGGCCGGCGGCGCGGACTGCGGCGGCCGCACAGGCCCACTCAGAGGGAGGCTGGGCGGCGGCTGGGGTCTCCGGTGGACCGCAGAGCCAGCCGCCGGCCTGGGCAGACTCGGCTGTGGCCGCGGAGCCGTCACCGGAGTCCAGCTCTGTTCCCTGTGAGCCGGCTGGGCAGGCCGAGAGCCTGGGGAAGTTGACCGGGTAGGAGACTGAGATGGAGCAGTTGATGGAGGAAGAGTAGTGTGTTTAGTCGGTGACGTTCGGGGAGAAGGCGGAGAAGAGGTGGTGGCCGGAGCAGAGGTTTTCGGAGCAGTAGTGGATGGAGCAGTGGTGGGCGGAGACGGAGAAGGCGAAGCAGTGGTAGCTGGAGGCGGAGAGGAAGTAGGCGGCTCGGTGGTTGGTGGAGCAGAGGTGGTCGGGCTGGTGGATGGCGCCTCCGTTCGCACAGCGCTAGAGCCCACCGCAATGTTGCCGGTGCGGTTGGTCGCCCCGGCGGTCGCCGCTGTTTTAGCGCCGCTGGGAGGCTCTGTGCCCGGCGCCTCGGTGGGCGGTCCGACAGTCGGCAGCGCTCGCCCGGCGGCCGCCGCCGAGCCGAATCCCGCCCGCGTCATCTCTCGGACGGCGGCGCGGGGTGGCGCCGGGTACCGTCGGGGCTGGCTCACCGGGGCCGGCCTGGCACCCACACCCACCCGGCGGCGCAGATTGATGATCTGCGGCCGCCGGTAGGCGTGGTAGGCGCTGGTGGCGGGCTCGGCCGAGCGCCGGCGTCTCTCCACCGGTAGGTCGGCAGAGTATAGAGCCTCGTCCAGCGACTCAAACAGCTGCTGGTGCTCAGGACTGAGCTCCTGCGCCGGAGCGGGCACGGCTGGAGCGGGCTCGGCTGGAGAGTGGTAGTGGTCCTCCCCGGTCGGCCCGTCCAGCTCATCGTCCAACAGCCCGAAGGAGGCGAGGAAGGCCTTTTCATCTGGTGAAAGAGTCGGGACGGCAGTTGGAAGGGCAGGAGTGGATGTAGGATTGGCGACAGTGACAGAAACGGTGCTAGAGGCAGTAGGTGACACAGCAGTCGGCACAACAGTTGGGTCCACAGTCGCGGCAGCAGATACGGTCGCAGACGGTTCAACAGTCGGCACCACAGTTGGTACAGCGGTCGGGGCTGTGGTTAGGGCCGCAGTTGCCACAGCAGTTGGGGCGGCCACTGTGCCCCCCAGGGCGGCTATCAGGGCATCCAGGGCGGCGGCCGCTGCCGTGCCCCCGACCGTGGCTGTTGGGCGGATCACGGGTCTTACCGGCGTGGAGCTGACCGCCGGGCCGGGGACTGCCGAGGCTGGAGGGGCGCTGGGCGGTTCTGTGGCCGTCACTGTACGGGTGACGGTCACCACGGTCACGGAGTGGCCCAGCGGCGCCGGCTTCTGCCCCAGGATGTCCGTGACGAGGCCGGCCGCCAGCGAGCTCAACCGAGACACACCGGCCGGCCGCCGAGACGGCTTCGGGCCCAGTATGACTGTGGCTATCGGCCTAGCCGAGCCCGCCGGCGGCCGGGACGGCTTGGGGCCCAGAACGCCGGAGGCGAGGCTGGCAGCCAGGGAGCTGAGCCGGGATGCGCCCGCCGGCCTCCGAGAGGGCTTAGATCCGGCGGCCAGCACGGTGAGCCTGCTGACCCAGCTGGCAATGGCCGACGGCGGGACCCGGGGCCGGCTGACTGGAACAGACGGGGCCCGGCTGACTGCCACCGGCGCCGGCCGTCGCTGTAGCACCGGCGTGGCCACGGCGACCGATAGGAGCGGCGCGCCCGTGTGCTTGTCGACGAGCACGGCCCCCGTCCCGGCGCCGGCGCCGGCGGTGGAGCCCGACACCAGCTTCTTCAGCACCAGCCGCTTCACGGCTAGTACTGTGGCGTCCGCTGCGGAAGGGATGACGGTGTCAGTGCAAGGGCAGCGGACGGTGGGTGGCCATACACAAGACACATAGGTACACACTGGATGATTATTTGCAATGGATTATTCAGCACATTTCGGAGATGTCCATATCGCGTTAGATGGTTTTGTCTTTCGGCTCTGGATTTTCCCAAATCACTTAGTTTTGCTAGACAATTGTATATGGTGGCTTGCTATTTATTCATGACATGCGTATTCCACTATTTTCTCGTAGATGAAGCTCAGAGCATTATGCCACGTCACCAATGATTCCCCACGATTGGTCGAAGTAGCGCTCCACGCTGTGTACGACTGCTGAGGAACTCACCGGATCGGACGGAGCCACCATCCCAGCTGGTCACCAGCAGCAGAGCGACCAGCATCCAGCCGCAGAGGGGGCGGGCGGCCATCGCGCCGGCGAAACCTGCAGAGAGACGGGGGGTCAGCACACTGTCGGCTAGCGGTACAGCCGTTCAACAACACCGCCAGTAAGCATTTCGTAAATAATCCATTGATGACCTCAGACATTCACCAACATAACCAAAAGAGGCGGTTTGCGGTCGCCAGCACAACCGGCATCAAATACTGCATTGGTTAGGGCACTGTAAGGCTGCAGATGCCCTTTTTATCTCTAAATTATTCCATGTCCAAAGAAAAGATGTTGTACACAAACATCTTAGATTTCGCAAACACATGACGGTATGCAATATGCAATGCATATTGCATACAGTCATGTGCATCATTACATTATAGCATTTATGCATTATGTGCATTATCCTCATTATGTAAATTTATCCATGAACTCTGCTACTGGAGTAGACGTCTGTTGAAATCTTCTATCGCTTACGCAAATGTTCGCTAGTTTCTATGACTACGCCTACAGACTGTATTTCAGAGCAAATAATTCAATTTGAATTCAGAATGTTGTAAGATAAGCTGTTGGAGAGGCATAGGTATTGAAGTTCATGGAACGTCGATAGCCGGCAAAACAAAACAGATGGCTTTGGCATGCCGGTTTCGATGACAGTAATATGACATGTTCGATGCCAGTTTCGGAAGTGAAGCATCGGAAGCAGTCATCACCAGAACTTTTTGCAGTGACATATTTTTGCAGTTTTTTTTTTACAATGGCATAATTATCGACTCCGCTAGAGAGCGCCCGTCCAGAATGCGTTCCTTCCCACAGGACATGACTCGGTTGTCGTGGTATGGAACTGTCGTGTGTCCAGTCTGGAGGGAATTCATGCGCTGCGGCGGGACACCGGTGCAGTCCACTTTGTCGTGACCTATAGACATAACTGTGCGGGCCGCCATTCACGGTACTGGACGGACGGGTCGTCTGCTCGCTCGGACCCGTCCCACGGCACCGGGCGGCGGGCACCTACTTACTGAGCGCGCACATTGCGCGCTCATTGCAACCCGAGTGATGTCAGTGTCACTTGGAAGGAACTTTAATAACAATAAAAACCTTACTATTATAATGCTGTACACTATTTGGAGCAATGAATAAGGCTTCCGGTTCTCGTGAGATCCAGTGTCGCGGAATGAAATCTTGACAATTGTTTCTTGTAATTTTTTTCCTTTGACCGAGAAGGCAGCCTGTGGCCGGAACTTCTATGCCTGAAATCGTTTTGCCGCTTGAGAGCTTATAAGAATTTCCGATGGATGACATCTTTAGGATAAAAACACAGCGTTATGTTTAAACAATTATATAGTAGGTAATGATTGTATATTCAGTTATTATATTTTAAAGGGACCCTCCCACCTTCAAAAAAGTTTATGAATTGGCATGAAAGTGATGTCGCTCGGTTCAGAAAGAGCGAAAACGAATATCTACCAAATTTCACCGAAAAATATTCACCGGTTTTCAAGATATTAGACTTTTACTTTTGTTTACTTTTTTGGGATCTCCGCTGTTTCTAGCGACTTTATTTTAGAAGTGCGGCGTTTGCGGCAGATGTTGCGCGCAAATAGCATATACCACCGCGTGCTACAAAACGTTTTAGTCAAACTTAATGACGGACGTTCGAAAGCCTGATGACGTGTAGTCTGTGTCTTAGTCATTGCGTGGTTCGAGCGATGATGGTGCGCGTCGTATTGCGAGCCAGGGTCTTATGGCGACGGTGAGTCGGCGGAGGGAGAAATTGATCAGCCTTTGTCTAGGGTTCAGAATGACGTGATATGACGTGATATGACGTGTACAGAGGTATGATCTAGGCTAATGTGGTGAAGCCGGGCAGTGCGCTCCGGGACACGAGCGGGTACGGGTGTGAATAGAGGCATCTGAGTGTACTGGACTTTTTGCATTACTACAAGCTATTTCGGCAACCATGTCACAGGAAAGCGCTGTGGCAAGTTCGGCGCTGGACATGCGGCTAATCCCCGAGTTCGATGGCGGTAACGCCTCTGTGGAAGAGTGGCTGGATAAGACGGAGCTCGTCTGTCAGCTGCGCGGAGTGTCCGACATTCAAACCGTCGTCCCCCTGCGGTTGACCGGCGGAGCCTTCAGCGTCTACCAGCAGCTGAAGCCCGAGGAGAAGCTGCAGTACTCTGCCGTCAAAGCTGCCCTGCTGCGGGCGTTCGCTGTGGATAAGTTCCAGGCGTACGAGGAGTTCACGGCGAGAAGACTTCGTGTCGGCGAGAGCGTCGACGTCTACCTGGCAGACCTGCGGCGGCTGGCCTCCCTGTTCGGCGGGCTCGGCGACACGGCGCTGATGTGCGGCTTCGTGGCCGGTCTCCCGGATGCGGCGAGGCATACCTTGAGGGCCGGCTGCCGCATGGAGAGCCTGACGCTGGCCGAGCTGGTGGAGCGGGCTCGGGCGCTGATGGCAGAGAATGCCGTCGCTGCAGCCGCTGCCGCCGCTGCGCCGGCCCGTTCCCGCCACACGCCGGCGTCATCACGGTGTTACCGCTGCGGTCGAGCCGGTCACTTCGCTCGTGACTGCCGGGCGGAGAGGAGAGCGGACATCATCTGTTTCCGGTGCGAGCAGCCAGGACACGCCGCGGCACGCTGCCCGGAACGGATGCCGGGAAACGCGTCAGGAGAGGCGGTGTCTGCGCCAACCTCCTCTCGGGCAGCCCAAGAGTAAGAGGCGCGCTACCGACGGTGCAGCTGCTGGTGAATGGGCAGCGCAGAGTGGCTGTTATCGACTCGGGCTGCAGCTGCACCATCATCCACGAGTCGTGCTGCGCGAGCTGGAGACGGTGCGGCGTGACTGTAATGGCCGTCAACGGGTCCCGGCTGCCAAGCAGCGGAGTAACGGAGGTGGCGGTTCAGCTGAAGAGCGGCGGGCCCGCGGTGACGCTCAGCGCCGTGGTAGTGCCGGACAAACCACTGGGCGTGGATATGCTGGTGGGGATGACCGGCATCGCGGCGCTGGGCGGGGTGACAGTGCGGGCGGCGGACGATGTGGTGTTCGGTGCCAGCGAGAGGCCCGACGTGGCCGTGCCGGGCCCGGGAGGGGTGCCGCCGCGATGCAGCGCCGTGACGCCCCCGGCGTTGACCGTGGAAGAGCGAGACTTCACGGTCACTTATGACGCGAAAAGTCAACACTGGACGGTGGCGTGGAAGTGGCGGAACGGGGCGGAGCCAGGGTGCCTGAGGAACGGTGTCCCCCAGTACGGCGTGCCGGCCGAGGCACGGCAGGAGTTTGATGCTGAACTCCGTACATGGATCGACAACGGCTGGCTGGAGCCGTACGACGAGACGGTGGACGGGCCGCCGCGCGGGCTGATCCCTCTCATGGCTGTTGAACAGCAGAACAAGACTAAAGTACGACCAGTCTTAGACTGCCGCGAGCTCAACAGCCATGTGGAGGCACACACGGCCGACGCTGACGTATGTGCCGACACGCTGAGGAAATGGCGGCGGCACGGGGCCAACGTCGCCGTCGTCGACCTGAAGAGGGCGTACTTGCAGCTCAGGACCGATCGTCGGCTGTGGCCGTTTCAGACAGTCGTGATTGATGGCCAAAGGTACGCTCTTACCCGTGTCGGATTCGGGCTCAACGTCGCGCCTCTCATCATGAAGGCGGTGGTGCGGACGGTGCTGCAACAGGACCCAGTGATGCAGGGCGCCGTCATACCGTACGTCGACGATCTGTGCGTCAATGAGGACGTGGTGAGCGCGGAGCGCGTGATCGCCCACTTCGCGAGCTATGGGCTCCAGTGTAAGCCGCCGGAGCGGGCTGCGGACGGAGCGCGGCTGCTGGGACTGCGTGTGGAGCCAGTCGGGGGTGGGCTGGCCTGGAGGCGTGACAACCCAGTCGGCTCACCGCCCGCGGCAATGACGCGGCGCTCCGTGTTTTCATGGTGTGGTCGTATCGTGGCGCACCTGCCGGTCTGCGGTTGGCTGAGACCAGCGACAGCGTGGCTGAAGCGTCGTGTCAACTCTCTCACACGCGGGTGGGATGACGTCACACACGACGCGGCCCTGCGGGAACAGCTGAAGCACGTGGCTGAGCGACTGGCGAGCGAGGACCCGGCCCGTGGGCAGTGGTGCGTGACTGGGCACCGCGCCGTACTGTGGACGGACGCCAGCTCGATAGCCGCCGGCGTCGTGCTGGAGAGCGAGGGAGGTGACGTCATCGAGGACGCGTGCTGGCTCCGCCGGGACGAGGCCACCCACATCAACATGGCGGAGCTCGACGCCGCCGTGCGGGGCATCAACCTGGCCCTGGCGTGGGACATGAAGACCATCGAGCTGAAGACGGACTCCGCCACTGTTCACCGGTGGGTCAGCGACGCTCTGAGCGGGCGCGCGAGACTGCGAACCAAGGCACATGGAGAGATGCTTATCCGCCGGCGGGTCGACGTCATCAGGCAGCTGGTCGCAGAGCTGGGCATTTCTCTCACCGTGTCTCTAGTCCGCTCGTCTCAGAACCGTTCGGACACGCTGACCCGAGTGCCGTCCCTGTGGTTGCGTCAGGACTCGCAGCCAGCGGACCAGCGGCCGAGCGATGGACAGCCAGTGGCAGCAGCGGCAGTGGTTGGATCGGAAGTGGGAGACGGCGGCGGCGCCGTTACCGTGGACTTCCGACAGGCCGTCACTGACGTACATGTCAGGGCGGGTCACCCGGGTGTCCGACGAACGCTGTATTTCGCGCGTCGGGATGTGTCATCGTCGATTTCCCGGAAAGTGGTCAGGGAAGTGGTGACGGCCTGTGACGTCTGCCGCGCGGTTGACCCGGCGCCGGTGACCTGGAGGCACGGGTCGCTGGCTGTGGAGGGGACGTGGGACCGGCTGGCCATCGATGTCACGCACTACGGTGGTCAGTCCTACTTGTCGGTGATAGACTGTGGCCCGTCACGGTTTTGTGTGTGGAGGCTGCTGCGGCGGTCGGACGCGGCGACAGTCACGAGTGAACTCGAACAAGTGTTCGCGGAGCGAGGCGCACCGGCTGAGCTTCTGGCGGACAACGACACCGCTTTCCGCAGTCGTCAGTTCGCCGCTTTCGCTGCCCGCTGGGGAGTGCTGCTGCGTTTCCGCGCAGTGCATCGCCCCAGCGGGAACTCCATCGTGGAGCGGAACCACCGCAGTGTCAAAGTGATCGCGGCGCGGAAGAAGTGTGGCATCGGAGAGGCCGTGCACCTGTACAATATCACGCCCCGTGACGGCGGGACGGCGGCTGAGGCGCCCGCCAACGGCATCTACCGCTACCCTGTGAGGGACGCCGTGAGACAAAGAGCTACCGCCGGAGCGTCCGAGGAGGCCGTGATAGGACGGCCGCCAGCCCGGCGGGAGGGCGACTTCCAGGTGGGGGACGCCGTGTGGGTGAGGCGGCCGGGCACCCGCTGCACCGAGCGGTCGGTTCGAGGAACGGTGTCTGGCGTGGTGTCGCCGCAGGTGGTTGAAGTGGGCGGCGTGCCTTGGCACATCAGAGACCTCCGCCACTGCGGTGACACCGGGGGACCAGCAGCAGGCCCTCGGACCCCCGACCGGGGCAGCGGGGGCCCACAGGAAGCGGAGGAGGACCGTGCCGGGTCCCCGATCGTCATGACATTCGGTTATGAGGGCGATGGCGCGCCGGGGCGCCCGGTGGAGGAGGCTGATGATGCGGGTGGTGAATGCGGCCGGTCTGAGAGCGACAGCGGCGAAAGGGTGGTGCGCCGAGGTCAGCGTAATCGGCGGCCGCCTGACTTCTTCGGCCACGTGGTGCCGATTGATGCGTTAAACAGCAGCAGCGGAAGTGATGATCTTGAGGATCAGGGTGAGGTGTAGTCTGTGTCTTAGTCATTGCGTGGTTCGAGCGATGATGGTGCGCGTCGTATTGCGAGCCAGGGTCTTATGGCGACGGTGAGTCGGCGGAGGGAGAAATTGATCAGCCTTTGTCTAGGGTTCAGAATGACGTGATATGACGTGATATGACGTGTACAGAGGTATGATCTAGGCTAATGTGGTGAAGCCGGGCAGTGCGCTCCGGGACACGAGCGGGTACGGGTGTGAATAGAGGCATCTGAGTGTACTGGACTTTTTGCATTACTACATGACGTCATCAGATTCCCGTAATGGTTAAGAGATAGGGACCACGCTGGTCCCACCCTGCAAGTAAAGGGAAGAGATTTCTTGAACACCATAAAGCTGCGGGGGTTGCGACCAGGATAAATGGTGGTTTCTGAGCCTGGCCGCAAACTTGGCTATCTCAACCCAAAACTAATGTTAACCCTATTAGTGGCAGGCTCCTGGCTACCCCATATTAGTGGCAGGGGGGGGCTGTTTACGACCCCCCCCCTTGATATCTCGAGATCTAACCGGCCGATTTTCAAAATTCAAACGGCATTCGATTTGGCTCAACGAGATCTACATTTCTAAAAAAAAATAAAATTAAAAAATGCCAATGGGGGGTAGAGGGGGGTAAAAACGGGCAAATTGCAGATACATTTTAGACTGTTTATCACGGCCAGGTTTCTGAACCAATCTTAACGCAACTTTTGCCGATCGATAGAGAATGAACCAGGAATTCACATGGATCCTAAAAATATGCATTTTCAAAAATCATAGGCGGATACAGATCATTGAGATTGGGGGTACACAAAAAGTATAGTAAATAAGGTTTTTGTTGGTACTGTTTCTAAAAAGGGTGGCAATGGTCTTGTTATGTTACAATTTTCTTATGAGAGAACGACTAAAATTGTATTGGTCATGCATAGGCGGTGTCAGGGCACCTATGTTGGGAGGTAAAAAATTTAAAATAACCCCCCTTTTTGGACGCCTGGATCCGCCTATTATAGCAAAAACGTGTCAAACGAGGATGCACAATAACTTTGTATATGTTATCACATGATACCTTTCATTCACTGTTCGTAAAACTGGTGCAGCATCGTGATCTTCGCCCAAATGACTCGCTTCACGAATAGGACCCCCAATTCCCAGTGCTCTGGAGCCGTTCCTGGTAAAGTTATGAACTTGAAATTTTCAGGGAATGTGCCCAATTTAGTTTTAGGAAAAGTCAGAAAATTTCAGCATCGTAGCTTTAGCGGTTTCGGAGATATTCCCGAAAAACCTGAGGGGTGGATAAAAACAACCCCCCCTGCCACTAATAGGGTTAAGGTGGGAGGGTCCCTTTAAGCCGCGAGTAGGTAGAGCAAATCTTTTGAGCGTCGAGCAGATAGGGGAGACGTTTAAAATATTGTTTTCTACCTACGAGCGGTTTAATGATTTTATCCCGTACCGCCGATATATTTCGGGCGCTTAAAGGTAAAAAATACATTTTATATAAAATATACGACATAATTCAGACTGGACGAAATGTCTACTAGACGTTTAAGAGTTTGTTATTCTTCTAGACGTTTAACAAAACAGTTAAACGACATCTGATCATTTTCTCTCTTTTCCCATACATGCAACATTGCACGTTGAAATCGAGAAAGCCAGGCATTAAAATGGCACGTGCATTATACTACACTTTTGAAACATACAAGAAGTCAATGCTGATTGGTTTCCGAGACATGCAGGAAAATATGTTTTCCTGCACCTTTCGACGTTTTCCTGCACCCCTCGACGCTTTCCTGCACCTCTCAAATGTATGACGTCACTATGAGTGACGTCACATCATAAAGTTGAAGAGCATCGCTTTGCTCCTTATAACTTCATTTTATCTATCGTCCATTTTATTTGATTGGCTTATGATATACCTACCTACATTGTGTTTGATGCAAGGATTTCATTATTTGTCATGAATAAAGTGAAACATCACCATATAAAACTTAAACTTTGACGCTATTTCGCAACAAACCATAGCCACGAAAGACTCAACAAGGTTGAAATTGGGGCGTTTTGGTTCCTCCATAACATTTGCAACGCTCCCTATAATGGTAAGCATGTATGGGAAATAGCTCCCTGCCCCCCCCCCTGCCCTGAGCTGCGAAAATTTAATTGTGTCACCTCGTATTTTAATCGAAAGTACCTCGGGCCTACCGGCCCTCGGTACTTTCAATTAAAAACCTCGGTGACACAATTAAATTTTCTCAGCCCCGGGCAGGAATGTAAATATCACGTGAAGCAATTGTAAACACTGTCTACGGTGCGGAATAAGTGATTATATATGTGTATTATATTTATATGCTTTATGAAATTTTACTGCGTAAAGACAGAGCACCCACGCTGAATTGATGTAGGTATGCTGCATCCGAGACTCCGTCGGCCGTGCAGCAGCAGCCGCGCCGATTCAGCGCGAGCAGGGGGGGGGGGAGGGGGCGCTGTCGGAATCTCGCCAAACCAGAAAATGCAGCGGACGGGCGAGAGAGGCTGACCTGACCCGGTGCCACTTTCTCCCGGATTGTCGGCATTTCTGGTGGTGCAGCGCCAGAGGCCGTCCAGCGGCGGCGGTCCGACCGGATATCCTCCCCGCGCCCCCTCCCCCCCCCCCCGGACTCGTGACCAGCGGCACGTGGCCAACCGGCCCAAGGGAAATGCTGGCTGACCTCGCAACCGGTCACCCTCCGGTCAGCGGCCGGCGCCGCATGTGCAGGCTAATGACTAATGAGGTGATCAGCGGCGGGGCGGGGAGACACGCGGCATGGTGACACTTACCTGGAACAGCACTCGGAGAGGGAGGGACCAGGGAGCAGCCGGGTCAGGAGGCGCGCACCGCGCAGACACCGCTCCGGCCGCGCTCGGCTCACCAAATGAGATCTCGGCCGCCGGCTTCCCCGGAGCCGATTGGGCGGCGCTCCTGGCTGGGGGGTGTTCAGTCGTGCCCTGGGGCATCGCCCGAAGGAGCCGCCCCCCACTGCTGGCCCCATTTCCCCCCTGAGAGGGACGCGCCGCCCGCACCCCCTATCGTCCCGGGGAGTCCTGTTTTCCGGCCGGCCAGGTCCGGGTTGAGCTCGCGATATTTTAAAAACACGGGTCCGTCTGCCGCCTGCCGCCCGGACGGGTACGTACCACGGCGCCACTGTAAAGTGAGAGGGCAAGGCCGGCACGGGATCACTTCCGGCTAGTCTGCGGCACGGTGCCGGTTCCGAAAATAGCGTGCGGGCTGCATCTGACCATTGACCATTGATTGGAAATAGCACGGCGCCGGGTGCAACGAGGGAGTGCGGACACGAAAATATCAGTAGGCTTAGGTAATCAGTCAAAAGGCAAAACACAGCAGTGAAGCATCTTCAGAACATCTTTAGAGTCCCTGTCTATTTACTAAGGCCTAACATTACAGAGTCGTTCATGACACAAACGCATAAGGTTATGGCATGAAGGTGCAGAAAGTCAATGAAAAATGAGCACAGTTTGTTATTTAAAGGGACCCTCCCACCTTCAAAAAAGTTAATGAATTGGCATGAAAGTGATGTCGCTCGGTTCAGAAAGAGCAAAAACGAATATCTACCAAATTTCATCGAAAAATATTCACCGGTTTTCAAGATATTAGACTTTTACTTTTGCTTACTTTTTTGGATCTCCGCTGTTCCTAGCGACTTCATTTGAAGTGCGGCATTTGTTGCGCGCTAAGCAGCATATACCACCGCGTGCTACAAAACGTTTTAGTCAAACATTTAAAAATCGTTAGATATCTGCGCTGACGTCACACATTCAGAGGGGTATTCCTATGCATTAGCCCCTCTGAATCAAAATGCTGCAATTTTGAAATTCAATATTCCCGATTTAACCCTATTAGTGGCAGGGGGGGGGGGTTGTTTTCATCCACCCCTCAGGTTTTTCGGGAATATCTCCGAAACCGCTGAAGCTACGATGCTGAAATTTTCTGACTTTTCCTAAAACTAAATTGGGCACATTCCCTGAAAATTTCAAGTTCATAACTTTACCAAGGGCGGCTCCAGAGCACTGGGAATTGGGGGGTCCTATTCGTGAAGCGAGTCATTTGGGCGATGATCACGATGCTGATGTATTATAACTGTATGCACCAGTTTTATCATGTGATAACATATACAAAGTTATTGTGCATCCTCTTTTGACACGTTTTTGCTATAATAGGCGGATCCAGGCGTCCAAAAAGGGGGGTCATGTTTTACCTCCCAACATAGGTGCCCTGACACCGCCTATGCATGACCAATACAATTGTAGTCGTTCTCTCATAAGAAAATTGTAACATAACAAGACCATTACCACCCTTTTTAGAAACAGTACCAACAAAAACCTTATTTGCTATACTTTTTGTGTACCCCCAATCTCAATGACCTGTATCCGCCTATGATTTTTGAAAATGCATATTTTTAGGATCCATGTGAATTCCTGGTTCATTCTTTATCGATCGGCAAAAGTTGCGTTAAGATTGGTTCAGAAACCTGGCCGTGATAAGCAGTCTAAAATGTATCTGCAATTTGCCCGTTTTTACCCCCCTCAACCCCCCTTTTGACATTTTCTTAATTTTTTTTTAAGAAATGTAGATCACGTTGAGCGAAGTCGAATGCCGTTTGAATTTTGAAAATCGGCCCGTTAGATCTCGAGATATCAAGGGGGGGTCGTAAACAGCCCCCCCTGCCACTAATAGGGGTAGCCAGGAGCCTGCCACTAATAGGGTTAAGGCATTTCTCGATGTTGTAAGTGCCGAAACCGGTAATTGTGAGCCAGGGACCCCATTTTGGCTATCTCAACTCAAATCTAATGTTAAGGTGGGAGGGTCCCTTTAATAATGGGCCACGGGCGTATAAGTAAACGCTCATATATGTATCACTTTATATATTGCGTCTCTGAGTAATGCATGTCCTTAGGTATTTATTATAATTCAATAAACAGACAAAAGTCTGCCTATATTGAGCACCCACCACATAGGTACCTACTGTCCAAAAGCGGCTTGCCTCATTATGCTAGCTAATTAGCTGTCGTCATTTCCCTCCGTTCTTTCGTCATTCTCTTCCATTGTTCTACAACGGAAAGATGAAAATACGGTCTGTCAATAGGTCAGCCTGTTGCAGTATTGAGTAATAGGTATAGGCTGTTGTATTAGGCTTGAGACGCCTGGCTTGTGGGAATACCTCGTGTTTATCTGGTTGGCTATCTTCATTTAACACGTGTAGCTACCTGACAACTTTCTCCCGGTGACTTCCATCCGTGGCTACGGGCTTACTCTCGGGTAGCTACATTTGTGGGAATACCTCAATGCTAACTCATAAATCAGTTCAAAGCTCGCTGCACCTATCGGTTTTCTACATAGCCACTCTTGGCCGAAGGGGGCGGGTACGTGTACTAAAATACGGCACTAGAATAGACGGCACTAAAATAAATACGACCCTATAATTATCGTTTCGTCCCGTTTCGTCTATTAATTTTATGAGCTAAGGCTACGCGGAAAAGCGAGCGAGTGCGCAATTCGGTATGAGACGCTGGGATTAGTTTCCAATTATAAGGTCTCAAGTAAAACGGCGATCTGCTGAGGCCGAGTCAATGACCCAAGGTCGTGCCTCCGTTCTTGGCAAATAACGTCTGCATAAATGGGCGCAGATCATTTTTTACCCTTACGCTAGCGAACACCGGGGCAAGGCGGCCACCCGGGGCAAAGTGTCCACCCCGTAGGTATTTTAGCCCTTTACAACTGGTGTCAACTTCAGTTATTGGCTGCCAATTATAGTTCTCTTGTATTTGTATTGTATTTGTAATTACATTTAAGAGCGATCCACATACAAAGTGCGTGGCGTGGCGATTACTGCTCACGGTCGTTCGAATGGGCCGCATAGTTTTCCGGCTCGTTGCCATTGTTTTGTGATGTACGGAAAAGTATTATTTCCCAGATTACTATTTTTTTACGATTTTTTAGTGTTATTTTATTCCATAACCGTTTGGAATTTTATTTTAACGTTCTTGTTCATGCATCGCCTGGTTATCGTAAGTACATGTCTTCTACCAATTAGTGTTTAGGTACCCCACTAATAGCTGAGCAGGAATACTGTTGTCTCGGACGGTATGCGCGGGGCAAAGTAGACGGATACCAGACCAAAATTGGCCATAATTGTTTCCATCCTGACAACAAGCGTTATTGATATTCAAAAGTATTGTCATGCGTTTATTTCGGCCATTTTTGGTTACATGTAATGCACTCTTCTCCATGAATGTCCTTGGATTGTTTATCTAACGGCAGGAAGATGACAAAATAAACACCCATCCTCGCTTAAACCTTGTTAGTTGTTACCATCAGCAGCTCCAGTCGTACATGAGGCAACTATCCTGTTTTTCATAACAGGACAAATGCATCGCCGGTATCCGCTTTGATCCGGGGGTTGGGGCAAGGTGCAGGCCATTAGATATGCATATAAGTAAAGTTTTGCCAATCTCCTAAACGTTAATGCCCTTAGAAATTAAACGAAGTTGAAATGACAAGCTAAGCATCGGACTTTGCGAATGGTGCGATATGAAATAAATAATGATTACAGGTGTTTGAGATAGGGTTAAATCATTTCCGGTGCTGGATAAATACGAGTACATAGCAGTTATTTTAGTACTATTCCTTTGACCATTGACCGGGCCAAGTGTTTTGGCATGATGTGGTGACATCGATGATCGATATTCACCTGGTTGAGTATATTCACCTGGTATTGATGAAGTGTCATTTTGAATCTTCCTCAGGAATTGATAGTAATTCGTATGCGTTTCGGGTTACACTGAGGTGCATACAATTTTTTAACAATTTTTATAACAATTTTTTAAACAATTTTTTACCTTAGTGTAGCCCGAAACGAATACGAATTACTATAGTTCACCTGAAGAAGAGATCTGTTCACCCTCCCTGTAGCACTTTAACGAATTAGCTACCTACTAATTGCGTCGGTGTGCCTGTCTTGGATAAAACTACAACTATATGAATTAGGACATTGAAATGCCCCAATGTTTCGCGCAAATAGCGCATGTGCAACGTGAGACGTTCATCGCCGAACTTCTCACTTAGTTGTCGGAAGACAATAGGTAGGTACTGGTTCTGTCCGGATGACTCGAGGGACGTTGCTGGACGGTCGTCAAGTTAGATGTAAGTGAATCCTAATCTATAATCTAAGATTCGGAATCAGGTGAGCCCCTACGATTTGGACCAAACTTGGTCAGTGGATAGTACGTAACGTCCTGATTACGATGCACCCAAAATCTAAGCTCGGCCCGTCATATTCACGAAGTTACGGATGTTTAAATTTCAAGGTCATTCGGGAGAGCCCCTACGATTTCCGTCAAAATTTGTGTACGGACACTCTAGATGCTCCTCATTACGAATATCACAAAATTTAAGCTCGGCCCGCCATATTTACGAAGTTACGGAGGTTTGAATTTCAAGGTCATTTGGGTGAGCCCCTGCGATTTCCGTCAAAATTGTTATACAGACATATTCCATCCTCCTCATTACAAATATCATAAAAGTTAAGCTCGGCCCGCCATATTTTTCAAGTTACGTAGTCACAAAGTTACGGAATTTCAAGGTCATTCGGAGAGCCCCTCCGATTTTCGTCAAAATTTGTATGCGGACACATTACATGCTCTTCATTACAAATATCGTAAAAGCTAAGCTCGGCCCGCACTATTTCAAAAGTTAATGAAGTTTGAAACTCATTGAAATTCAAACCTCAGTAACTTTTGAAATAGTGCGGGCCGAGCTTAGCTTTTACGATATTCGTAATGAGGAGCATGTAATGTGTCCGCATACAAATTTTGACGAAAATCGGAGGGGCTCTCCGAATGACC